CTCTTTCCATTTAGGAGGATGGGGACCAGTGAGGGGAATGCAGATCCAAAAGGTCAATCAGAAATGTGTAAAGTATTGAGAAAAATCATCTTGTGTAATAAGTACAGGTGGGTAGAAGAGATATTGTATTATTGTTGTCCAAGAAAAAAAAGGCTACCTAAGATGTATTTATTTAAAGACTTGAAGTTTCTTTTTTTTTCAATTAGCAGCTTGTGGTCTCAAAACCGGTGGCTGCCCTCAGTTGCCACCAGCTGCCCTCAGAGCTGAGGGCACAGGGAAACTCTCAGAATCATGTCCTAAATGCTCTGCTAATAGCAAATACGGTCTTTAAAGGTAGCAGAGAGGTGAAGGGAAGCCCAAAGATGTGGTATAAATCATAGAATCGTTTAGGTTGGAAAAGACCTTTAAGATCATCAAGTCCAACCATTAACCTAACACTGCCAAGTCCACTAAACCATGTCCCAAAGTGCCAGTGTCTACCCATTTTTTTGAACACTTGCAGGGATGGTGACTCCACCACCTCTCTGGGCAGCCTGTTCCAATGCTTGACTACCCTGTGTGCCTGCAGAAGAAACCTTGTTGAGGAGAGTGCACAGTTGTTATTTTCAAAGCTTTAATTCTACACAGCAGGCCTTTTTTAGACCTGGGGATATATCTGTTTATGTGCATGCCTGTGTTTTTATGAACTGTAGTAAATTTCCAACTGTGAATTCTTAGTTATAGTTACTTCATTATCGCCCGTTTCAAGGAGACTTACTGATTAACTTTTCTATCTATTGAAAACTCTTACCAAACGTTAAAAAAAAATTACCCCAGCTTTCTAAAATCATAGTGCAAACAAATTGCAGATTTGTTCAAAAAATAGTATGCTCTTTGGGATGCAGCCTCCTTAAATCTCAGTCCGAAGGGAGGACCAAAAAAACCATTTAAACAGCACATAGGCATTTAACGCAACTAAATACAATCACCTGAAAGGCTGAGAACTAATATAGGGCACCTTGGTTTTTTTTTTTTTTTTTAAGAAGAGAACTTGAAACAAGCCAGTAAGACATGAAAAATGGAGGCAACATAGCAGAAAAGGGGCTAGAATAAGTGATAATAACTGCATATTTTTGTCTTCCTTTCTCCCCCCTCCCCCATGATAGCTTATTTTCAGTCTGAAAAATTGATGTAGGGTGTGTTTTAAATGGCAGTGGCTATATACAGGCTGAAGGAGGGGAGTTAGATTAAAGAAAATGGTTGTCAGACAAACACACTTCCTCGCAACTCAAATTCAAGCATGATCTTCCTTATCCTGTAAACGTAATATTGTGCCTCTGGAGAGCATTAAAAACCTCCAAGGAGTTACACACTTAACTGATGCTCCTAACTTAGGCGCAGAAGTCCATCAGTCTCCCTGTACATTTACTGGGGACAGACACACGCACCTGTTCAGTCTAAATATGATCTGGATCATCCTCTACAACTGCCTTTCTCTGGCTGCTCTCTGCAGATAGGTCTTACAATAGCCATAGGTGACACAAGTCCCCTCTTTTACTAAATTACTGTGCCACTCGCAGAACTTTCCTACTTGTGGACCAGAAATACATTGCACAGAACAGAGAAAACACTTACCAGAGAGGTTGGCATCTCTGTGGCAGCACAGGCTGAAAGCAGATAAGCAGATAGAGACAGCAGGGCATGAGGGAATGAGCTGGATCAGTATGTTGGATAGTGGTCCTAGCACAGCAGCGGCTCAACCATCAGAAAGATTTCCAGGTGCCACTGGAAAGGAGACTTTTAAGGGGAAAAGTGAGATGAATTTGCAATAATTTTGGAGGCCGCCTCCTGCGTAAAGAAAGGTCGCAGCCTAAAGTGCTCTACTAAAGGAGCTGACAAGATGTAAATATAGATCTGCATGTGGGGACAGAGCCAAGCTAAAAGCAATGACTATGTTAAATATTCCATTTTGGCAGTTCTCATTTCTTAACTGTTTGCTAGACACCCATAGGGAATTTCCAGAGGAGTGCAGAATTTTTCAAATTCTTTGGACCGGACACAGCAGTAGGAGGCCTGAAGTAGAACAGCTGTACTTGAAGGAATGAGTCCTGCAGGTCTGAGTGTTCTCACATCGTTGAAATTGGCTGGCATAATGAGATGCTTGGTGTTGTGCAGGACCAGCCTCTGCTTAGATGGGCTCTTATCTTCTGTGGAATCCGTTGTTACCACCCACCTGAGGATCTGCTGCTTCTTCTGTCCACCTGGATTGCATGGTTGCATCATGAAGTTGGGAAATGTTTTAGATGAAAGTTGCAGGGATTTTGCAACAGAAATCATGAAATCTATGGTCCAGGTTGGCTAACGCTTACTGAGTTGTTCTACTGGAAATCATCAGTACTGTTAATGGCACTGAGCACTGTGCCTGGAAGCAGTGTTTACCATACTGGGCAGTTCATTGTTTTTAAATGGGACTTGTATTAAGAAGTCATCAAATAGTATTCCATGAGCACACATGGCATTTTGTATCAGCACAATTAAGTAAAATAATCTGCTTTCAGCTATTCACACTTAAGTCATTAAAGTACCACTTTAGAGTCTTATAGTATGGGTCAAGTAACTTGAACATTGTTGTATTAGTAACATTAAAAAGAAACTGAGATGTTCTCCCTAAATCATAGCTTTTAGATTAATTTATAATCCAAGAGAAAAATCATACCTGTGGTATACTTACTGAACAATAGCAAACATTCATTTGCGATATAAATCACTTCTGTTAAACTGTTTGGAATTTGTGTTTTTAAAGAAAATTCAGGTAACACCGGGGCAATTGTGGGAGGAGTGATTGTTGCACTTGCTGCACTGGTAGCAGTCTATATCGGCTTCAAGGTATGTACAATCATTAAGGGATTTATTTTTAAAGGTACTGTTAAGCTTAAATCCAGACCTTGAATGTTTCACCAAAACATAAATTTGATTTTTGTGGGTTAAAGCATACGAAAAAGATGGAAAATGTGGGATGATATGTCTCAGCATAAATAAATTGTCCTCATTCTTACTACTTCCTGTGTCGAGAAGGCACTCTTTGTTACATCTGTGCAATAGTATTTTGGTTGTAACATGTTAACAAGACCTTCCGTTGACCAGATGCTCTCCTGTGCTGTATCAAAACATGGAAAAGTTGGTTAACCTTCACAAATACTTCCTGATAACTTGCTTTAAAAACAAACTGGTTAATTTTCTCTCTCTTGTGTTTAAGACAAAAAAACCCCAAACACCCCCCAAACAAAAACAGGAGTCCCTCAAACAATGCACATACCTAGTCTTTGTTAGGGCTTAAATTACTATTTCAATTATATCCAATGTCAAAGCTCACCAAAACTTCAGTGTGAAAAGTTACACTACTTGCTTTGTTTAGGAGACTGTTAGAACCATATGATCCCTGATCTCATCTCTCTACACACCTTTCCTATTTACTAGACTACAGCATCTTCAAAGGGATGCATTTTATTCATCTGCATTTGTAATAGGCTGGCTCTGTCTTACAGTGTGTCTCCTTCCTCTGCATTTGTGGTGAGCGTCCTTAAAAAATGAACTTTAGCTCTTAGTCCTTAGGGTACATCTTTCTGTGTCTGACAGTATAGCCCTATCCATGGAGAGAGACCTTCAAACTCCCTGGGCGTTAAGATTTTGTCACAGCCTGAATTTGGTAAGCTTCAGGAGACATTATACGATGGTTACCACGAGGTTCGACAAGAACACACCAGAAATACAACTCTAAAATTATTTTTTCATTTTTCTCTGACTTAGAGATTCACTTGCATGCTTCTTATTAGTCAATTTTAATGCTAACATGCTTTAGAGATTATAACATACTTTCAAGATGCAGCTGTTTAATTTAAAGAATTTAAGCAAGATTCATTTATCTTGGGACCTGTTGAGACCTTTAACATCATAATCAGAGGAGGTGGAACAGCTTACAGCTTAACTCAGCTTCGGTTACATTTGTGGAGGACTAGATGGAAGAAACAGGAATGTTTCTGCACTGTTATGTGGATGTTTATTTTACTCCGCTAATGTTAAAATGGAAAATACTGACTTGTCTTTATAGTGAGTGTGTCTTGTTCTGTTCTCACTAGAGTATTAATTTTACACTTCGGTAGTTCTTACGAACATTTTTGTTTTGACTAGAAATGCAGAAGATGCAGCAGCATATGGGAACCCTGACATAGCAGAAGAAAATCCTTCTCTGCACACACAGATGCTACTGACATTACTGCTGAAAAGAACAAAGACTTCCTTCACCTTCCCTATTGGGATACAGTAAGAGCCACATGGAAATGTAATTATCTGAGCAACACTAACAAACTACTGAACTGATTTAAAAAAAAAGTCAATTGACACTTGTATGTGAGGAGTTGGCATGAAAAATTGAAACTTGGATATCCTAAAGGGATAATGAAAAAGTTTCCACAGAAGAAAATTCAGTTTTGCCCCCCCCCCCCCCCCCCCCCCACCATGAGGGAAGGAGAGAGATTACTGTTTTGCACTTCATTTAGTATTTTAATTTCAAGCAAAGACAACTTCCCTGTTTAAAAGTGGAAAAGATCTAAGAGAACACCCTATTTCTGAGCCACAGGCAGTGCTGATGGGACATGTCCCTCCACAGCATCTCCTGTGTCTCTCCTGCAGCTGGTGAACAAAAGTCCTTTGGCTGGTAGTAGTGGAAGCTTCTAAACTGACTGTTCATATGAAAAAGTTTACTTTCTGCTCTCCTACAAAACCCATACAGACTCTGACTAGCTGGACAGATGGAAGCTGGGGGTTATCCCAGCTTTAAGGGCTGTCCCCCTGCACAGGTTTCATCATCTGTGGTGCTTTAACAATCTGCACATGAAATACATGAGGCTGTGAAGCATAGCTGGATTTGCCCTTGATTTTGATTTTGTCAGAGATCTGCCAATTCGGATTTGTTCCAACACAATGAAGAGGGCTGTTGGCAAGATGTAATCTTTTATTGATCCCGGGGGCTTGGCAAAATAGAAACACAAAGAAA